CTCGTAAACATAAAACTCTGTCTGCATTTGTGATCGGAGAAATGACAAACAACAAGCGCTGCTCTACACTGCTCAAAACTCGCGTTTGAATCATCAGTGGCAAATTATTTCAATATAAAAACGTACTTAATTAGTTGGCAACACTGTAGCCGGCATTGTAGTCTACTCTTCCAGGATCAGGAGACAGTCCTCCATAAACTGTGCTGCACACATCTGAATATTTGGGTTGAAGTGTTCTGGAACAGTGTTGTAAATACAACTTAACCACTGATTTCTAGTCGTGTCCTCTTTTGGAAGACCAAACAAAGTAGATTCGCTTTCATAAAGAAGCACACAGCGTCTTCACGACATGGCAGCGACGGCAACAATACTACAGCGAGAATAAAAGTTACGCCTTCTTTCTTTGCGTGAACATTTGGGCGGCGTTATGCAAATCTTCCCACATAGTGAGGTAGATATGTGGGGGCGTGTTAGAACGAGCCATTTTAGGTAGGCGTGGCTGACTCTTAACTTTTATAAAGAATATCTCTTTGGATTTGAGACTTTAGTTTTTGCAACTTTACAGATCTTCTTTATGCACCAAGAGCTTGTAACACTCCAAAGAGAAAGGAACAATTGAAATCGCATCATATGACCCCTTTAAAAGGTATTTCATACTTCAATAATGAATGTCTGCTCTTTAGGTATACAGCATTTCATGTAGAACTATGGCCAAAAGAAATTATGAGTACAATATTATCACAATATCTATGACAGTTAAAAATAGTACTGCTGTCAGTCAAATTAATTTCAGATTTTGTTTATTTAGTGTTTTCTCACATTCAAAATACGAGTGTAGGGAGTCAGAGAGTTTGTTACTGTGGCCCTTCAGGTAAAATGTTAAACAGGTGCTAAACCATCATCTACTATGATGACGTGTCAACCAGATACTGCGATAAATATTTACAGTATGTATTTGTAGTATTATATTAATAATCAATAATCATGATTATTAATATTGCCATTACTGTTCAGTGCCACAACCCTAAATGACATTGCACAACCAAAATAAATGAACAGCAGTTACAGTTATACTTCACATTTCTGGAAAGACATTAGCCATTTTAACAAATAATATATTGTATAGGTTCTTTTTATAAATCTCAAATTAGTTTTTGGATTTTCTGAAGCAGATGCAAATATGTGTTTTCATAATACACGTCATTCTTTTTCTTGGTAGAGTCTACATTTTTAAATGTAAGTGTTAGAGACTCTAAGCTTATTTTTAAAAGAGATTTTGATCCTTAATTCCATTCTGCCATCAAAAAAAGAAGAAGAAAGAATTTAAAACATATACAATATGCATGACCAATATTGTCTTGACCTTAACTGATATGTAGTTTTTTCATTGGAATAAATCCAGCTTCCATCATTATTTCTTAAATGAAGTCCTACTTAAAGCATGAGGAAAATATCAGAAACAAACATATTCCTTACAAACTAATGGCATTTTCACATTAACGAAAATGTGGCGAAATCCTGCTAGGCTTAGTAAAACAAGTTTTTGTGAATGTTGATTATTTGTGACACTGTCTGTAAAAACCAGGCTAAAGTCTCAAAATCAAATTATGAGATAATAAGCATTAAAGTTTGATTTCACCTATAAATATAACTATGATATTAATCTTTGACATCTCATTACTCGGTCAAAATAAAGATATCAAGGTTATATTTTCACAGAATGTTCTTTACATTATGTAGGATGACTGTAGAAAACGTTAAATTACAAAAGAATGACTTTAGTTGTGCTTTCACAGGCAGGTCACACTCAGGTATATGAGCCTCGTGTAGAGCAGTGTGTTTCAAGGGCATCGTTAGCCGAGCTGGGGGAAGGGCATCGCTAGCCGAGCTGGGGGAAGGGCATCGCTAGCCGAGCTGGGGGAAGGGCATCGCTAGCCGAGCTGGGGGAAGGGCATCGCTAGCCGAGCTGGGGGAAGGGCATCGTTAGCTTAGCTGGGGGAAGGGCATCGTTAGCTTAGCTGGGGGAAGGGCAGAACACACACACACACACTCTCTTCTAACTTCACATCAGCAGACTGCAGCTTTGGAATGAACTGTTCTTAATTAAGTCAAGAAAAAATTATTTCTAAACCAAATGTGAGTGTGTCAGCTAGATTTTTAGTAACTTCAGCTAGAAGTTACTTTTAAGAACTTTTTGGTTATTAAACTTAATATAATCACTTAATATTCTTATGTTCTAAGAATACATAACAATAATAATGATAAACAAATAAATCACGACTTATATGATTGTGTTATTTAATCAGTGCCCTTCCCCGAGTGTTTGCTTATGACGACAGATCATAACAGCTCATAAACTCATAACAGCTCATAAATTCATAATACGCAAAGAAAATGACCAGATCGATTTTATTCAAACCTTACACAAACCATTCAAACAAATCAAAACACTAAAAAGGCAAGCGATTTTGGATGCTTTTACATCGTTTTTTAAACACATATTAAAAATCAACAAATGTAAACATGCCCATCTGCTTTTGTGAAGAAATGTGCATTCAAAGCCTAATGTCCGTCTCCCCGTATCAAACTGCGCATGCACCATTAGTAATCTACTGTATTCGTCTTCATGCAGACCCAGAGCTGCGCAGACAGATTGGTTTAGGTCAGACTTTAAAATAACGCGCGAACAGACCGCTTTGTATGCATTCAATCCGCTCTCGCGGTCTGTGACGTCATAAACCAGCCGGTCTGCGCAGGGCTAACTAACGGGGGCTGCACGCACTACCGTTACACAGATACTGAAGCGGGAGCAAAACTGCGAGTTTAAGATTCAAAGTTGGAAAACACTTCATGAGAGAACCTGGTACTTAATGTAGGTTAGTCAGTTTTTATGTAAAAACTAAATACTGGAAACTTGTTTTAAATTACTGTATTATCTGTTTATTCTTTCATGTGCAATTTCCGCCGTCTTTACTGATGACGTGATTGACTTCGTGATTGGTCAAATTTATAAATGATTCAAAAGGTGCAATTCATACAATGGCCCATAGGAGCGACATGGGGTCCTAATTCTCCCTGGCCTCTGATTGGTCAGAATCGCCAAAGTGTGTATCTTTCAGGAAGTGCAGTTCCTCCTAGGGGGCATACACACTATAGTACACAAATCACTTAAAAGTGCATTTTTGGGACAAGTGAGATTTTAAGACTAGACACTATTTTAGTGCATGTTAAGTGCTATTATATAGTCAAACAAATGAGGACATAAAAAAAGTCCTAAATTGTCAAGGTGGTCCCCAGTTTACTGGTGTGTACTCTGGTGAATGTCCACAAAAGTGACATAAGTAGGTACACACGCACACACACACGTCTCTTTGCTGAGCCGCGGCGGTCTCGGTGAATCAGCAGCATCCACAACTGAACGGAACAAAAAATGTTGAACTTGAAAATTGTTTATGCACGAGTGCACTTCTTAGAGATGAGGCTGTCTCATAAGTGAGCGGGAATTTACCAAACGTGGCACTTGCGGGAGTTAACACTGTACGCAATACCCGCAACCTCACACCGTGTAGATAGGCAAGCATATACAGTAAACAAATCATTTAGTAAGCAGAAATTCGAAATTTACCTTAACGTATTAAGTTAGAGGAAGATGCAACTGAACTGATGCTTGAAGAATGCGCTTCCAGCAGCCACGATAAACAGTTGGCGGTTAAAGTTTTCTATGCACAATTTGATTTGACGAAAGTCACGAGACCTATTACTATCTATCCAATCACGTTGATGGATAAAAATAAAATTTAAATAAGCATGTGACGACCACGGAGGAAAACAGCGGAGTAAAAGTAAAGAAACATCACTTAAAATGTACTCAAGTAAAAGTACACAATTTTTTAACTACTCAAAAAAGTACAATTACTGATAAAAACTACTTAATTACTGTAACGTGAGTATTTGTAATTCGTTACTTCACACCCCTGAGTGTATGACTGACACAGACACCATTTTAATTTTTTATTTATTTATAGTTTTTTTTAAACAGACTATGAATCTGTCCAGTTGGAGGATATCAAACATGCTTTATGTTTTGAGCCAGTTTATTGTTTTGTGAATTTGTTCAGAACGACGTGAACATATTTTAGTTTGTGAATTTTTTCGTATTTAGTGCATGATGTCCAGTTTTTCTCTTTAACCATTTAGTTAGCAAGTGTATGATGCCAGATGTTTTAAATCTGTTCAGTATTTATTTTTTTATCTGTTCAAAGTTGTGTGTATTCCAACCTTTACAGTAGTTTATTTTTGTTATATTCTAAAATGCATTGATAATATGCAGTTGGGGGGAAAAAATACACTATTTATGGTTTTGAAATCCAGAGCAATTTAATCACAGAGGGCACAGAGATATGGCATTAGAGAAATGAAAAATCTGAAAAAATTCTCACTTAAAGACTTATTAAAACAGCATCAGAAATACGAAACATATTATTCAGAGCTGTTAGCCTGAAACATTATAGATGTGTAAGTTGCTTGTACTGTATCAGCTTCTTAAGCTAGTACATTACTAATGGCAGCTCGAGCGCTGGGAGTGAAGGGATCAGGACTTATTTTGTTCAGCTGCACAATGACAGCATTATACTGTTCTTTCCATTCATCTTCTGACAGTGAAGACGGGCTGATCTCCAGGAACTTATACGCATTCTTACTCTGCAAGCTAAAGATGCCCCTAGCATACAGGCAGGATTCACCGAAGGCCTTCCAATGCTGAAAGATGTGAGGTGAAAATGAACCACACAGAAAATGCAATCAAGGTGAAATGAACTTCTGTAACTGGACATTTAATCAGTGTGTAAGTTACCTGTTGTGCTGTAACAATAGCTTCCAGAAAGATGTCCTTCATTTCACTATCCTCGATGAAGTGTTCATTCGCAAAAGTCTCTTCTTTGAGAGCCTCCAGCATCACACTCACTGATTCCCAGAACTTCTGAATCTGAATCAGAATTTGTTGGATTCGGGTGAGGCAGGTTTGGACATCATTCAGATGGACAGGGTTGGGTATTGACTCTTTAGAAACAATATAAAGCAGACATTAATTATGTTTATTAATTAGGCTTCTGACCGTTTAAATGTGAATCATGAAATTTGTCGAGCACAACTGGAGATCTTTTAAAGCATCTCACTTCTTTCTATTGTTTTGCGTGCCAGTTCCAGCTGGTTATTAGTCAACCTGACATGGATGCTCCACTCTAAGTTCTTCAGGTTTGACTTTTCATTGGAGAGTCGAGACAACTCATTGGAAACAGCCTGGATTTTTGCAGCCAGACCGGCGTCAATTTTAGCACCAAAAATCGCATTAACCAAGGCTCCAACAAATGGAACCAGGGCAGTGAGAAAGCCCAGACGATTACGTTTTCCAGAAGCTTGTCTGATATAATTCTGCAGTTCTTGGTTTTTCAGTGCAATCATTTCATCAATCCGTTTAATTTCTTCAGTGTTTTTCTTCAGTTTCTCTTCTTCTTTGAGCACCGCGCCCTTCAGTGCCTGTATATCTTGTAATATTTTCGCGTCTGTTTCGACTGTCTCAGCCTTTACAAGAATCACATCACTGGTGCATGTAGCCACACTCTGGTTTTGTTTGTCATATCTGATGATGACAGATTTCAAATTATCGGCTTAAACACAGTAAATGTTATTGATAATGGACTGAGACATGGTGTTCTGTTTCTGTTTCATTGTATGTTGATATAAATCCAGATGACTTTTGGCAGTAGCCATATTAAAAGTAATCCAGATATATTCAACAAATCGCACAAACATTACCATTTTTAGCAACATTTCAAAATATTTTCCATCATTTTACCTCTCCACCATCTGTTCCACTTTGACAACAATTTCAGTGATCCATGCTCTTGCTTTTTCCAGGGACTTAATGGCCAAAATGGTTTTATCCTTTTCAACAGCAACCTTCAATGCAGGCAACAGCGTGGTAACCAGGTTTTTACTTGTGGCAGCACACTGAAAAATAGCACAAAAAAAAGTATGTTATTTATCCACAAGTTTCATACTTCAAAACAGGGGTGGCCAACTTCAGTCCTGGAGAGCCACAGTTCTGAAGAATTCAGCTCCAACCCTAATCAAACACACCTGAACAAGCTAATCAAAGTCTAATGGTTACTAGAAAGCTACAGGCAGGTGAGTTTTTATCAAGATTGGAGCAAAACTCTGCAGAACTGTGACTCTCCAGGACCGATGTTGGCTACCTCTGCTTTAAAACATAGGAAATGTTCAAAACCAATTTAGTCGATCAGATACCAATATTAATGTTCTTCATATGGTTCACTGAAAGGTTCTTTGAGGAACCAAAAATTGTTCTTCTATGGCATTGCTGCAAATACTTCTTTTTGAAACACAAATATTTTTTTTGTGTAATGGATGTGGGTTGCAGTAATAGAAATGTCTGAAAAACTTTGGCTTTACCTTCAGCAGAAGAGCTTCAGAGGACCCAAAGAGAAGCTGGGTTTGAACATCACGTTCTCTAAGAACCCTCTCCAACTTGGGAAACTTAGCCAAACCCAGGTAAGAGAGATGGTAGAGCAAAGCCGTACGCTGAGCAGATGGAAGAAGCTCCGTAACAAAGTCGGCGCTACTTGCGATCACAAGCTCTGTAAAAATACAAATGCGACAGTTACTACAAGATGGTTTTGTGCAGTCTTGTGTCAGTTATTATCAATATTAAAATGTAAGGGGGTTAGATTTTATCAGTAAAAAAACTTAAGAAATGATTACCCACCTTTGCTTTGTGACATTTTTGTCTGTGAAGGAATGTCCTCTAAGTGCCTGAAAAACAACAGCAAAACACTACGAGACAAGAATCATTAAAAAGAGGGATGAGAGAGGCCGGTAAAAGTTACCTGTAAGTTGAATCTCTGTGCAATGTAATTTACTGTATTAGCATGGGGGAATTTATACTCTATGGCACCTCCTTAAAATTGTTTGTCATGAAGATACCTAAAAGTGATTGTCGAATAACAACTTTAGAACTGAAGTTGCACCGTTACCTTTGGGGATCCCTGTGGTTGGACTACAGGCTCAGACTTGTATTTTTATAATCCCTCGTCTAGTAACTATGTTATTCATACTGTACCAACCCTGCAAAATTTTGAAATCACACTTTGCATTTCCTTAAAGAGAGATTAATTGTTCTGTATCTTTATTGTTATTCACTCCATTACAAGTCACATACAGTTGCGCTCAAAATTATTCAACCCCCAGAGATTGCAGTACTTTACAAATACACATTTTTTTCTGAAGATCCAGGATTTTATAAATAAATGCATCTACAACAGTTTACTGGCTTATTAAAAGTGATAATGTCAATATGTAGTGTAATATTTTTGAGTTATATTATTTTTAAAATAATACAGCTGTCATAATTATTCAACATTGCTGTTTTTTTAGTCACTTATTTTTATGGTAGGGAACAGAATTGTCCTAAAACACAATTAAGCCTTTAGAAACTAAAAATAAATAAACAGAATTAGCTTGGGCTGTTACACATACATACATTTAGCCCATGCATGTGCTGAAGTTGAGTAGCAAATATGGCACAGTCAACAGAGCTCTCACAAAAGCTATAGAGAAGAAATATAGTAGTCAACATTTGAAGTGGATCAAAAAAGTTCAACGAAGTTGTCATAAGACAACAACGGGTATTGTTTTTGTTTGAAAGGTTTTGATCCACTTCAAATGTTGACTACTATAGTTTTATTATATTAGAACGTCTAAAGCTGCATGATTTTAAAGATATTAAAAGTTCATAGAGACACAGCTGGCAGCCTTATTTCTTAGTTTAAAATGTGTTGTACCAGAAAACCCTTGAGGGTGTTGAACAAAAAAGCACAATATCATAAAATGTTTGATCAGAGTAACTGAGGAAAACCTGCAATGTACAACCAAATACTTGCAAGATGACCTAACGAAAGGAGGAAAAACATTTCAATGCAGTGTATAAGAAGAACACTAGACAAGTATGGCCTTCATTTTGAGGCATTTTGCCGAATATCACTCTTGACCAAGAAGAACAAAAAGGCTGACTTGAACATGCTAAAATTCATTTGGATAGACCTGTGGAGTTCTGGAAGTATGATTTATGGCAGGGGAGCCCAACCCTGTTCTTGGAGATTTACCTTCCTGCAAAGTTCAGCTCCAACCCTGATCAAACACAACTGAACCAACTAATTAGGATCTAAGTGAGCACTTGATAAGGACCCATGGATCAACGGTATGTCTGGTGCAAAAAAAAGAAAAGAAAGGCAAATCTTATGAGCAGAAAAACACCATCTCCATAGTCACACATGGAGGTGGACCAGTCCTGTTATAAACTTTCTCCAATAGTGTACTTATCCTTTTGTTGAATTGTTTTCATAAAATTTTGTTCTCTGCAATGTCTTGCAGGTCAAGGGGGTTGAATAATTTTGATCGCAACTGTAGATGGTCTATCTATCAATCTATTGATGGTCTAATGGTGTAATAAAATCCAAATTAAACATGTTTCAATGTAGGCTACTGCTGTACTGTACCACCTCAATACTAAAAGCACTACCCAGGAAAAGAAGTATGTTGGAATCCTTAACATTCATGAAACATTACATGAGAAATACCCGGTTGACCAATTATTTCTGCCGAGGTCACTGAATGCATCTTCTAAAACAGCGGTTCCCAATTCCAGTCCTCGCGCCTCCCCGCTCTGCACATTTTGTATGTATCTCTTATCACTTCAGACGTTTGTTCAATTCGACCGCAAGTGCCCTGCGAAGTGGACATCACAGGATATTCCGCCATGATTCCAGTTCGAAGCGAGCGCATAGGTTCCATTAAAAGGGCATTGAAGTGTGCGAGACATGAATTTAAATTGTATTAATTTACAGATTTATATTATGTCACTCTTCACACTTCTCTAGTAACTTTAGCCGGTGTGTGAAGACGCCGCAGGCAGTGGCGTAGCGCAAACTTCAATGGATTTCCCCTGCTCAGGGAGTAGGGAGCACTGAACACTGTGTAGGGACCATGTCAATCGGAACACAGTTCATGCATGGAGTGTCCTTCCAACGAACTAATGATCTGAATCAGGTGTCAGAGACATGCAAAATATGGGCTGGGCTGGGCTGGGGGACTGGAATTGGGAACCGCTGTTCTAAACCACAAGACCACTGAAGGGAATGTTGAGTAAGCAACACAACTGATGCCAAAGGTGATGTGACAATGCCAACATGGTGGATATAGTACAGGTGGGATTGTGTTGGGTGATGATATTGTGCCTGTGAATAGAAAGACTCTGACTAATGGACAGACCTCAGTGGCTCTGACCTAGACCAGTGGAGGGCCTCATTACAGCCGTTATACAACAACCCTAGGTGTTCGTTATGGGTGGAACATGTCCTGGCCACTTTTACCAAGGCAGTTTCTGCAAACATAATCTTTGCTTGCCCGTCCCATGCTGCCATTGTCTTCTTGACTTTGCCCAAAGCAAAGTGTCAAATTGTAGAATTTAGGTTTATGTCAGAACATAGGCTAAATCAAATGTGAGTCATCAACAGGCCGTTACAGAAATGTCTGGCAGAAGTCCTAAAGATCACCCAATCAGTTTACCAAACTTTTTATTGATTTACAGTTTAGATGAGAAAAGTTTGTCTTACACTGAAAGTTAAAAATCTGATTTAAATCTTGAAGTTTTAAGGTCATAGATGGACAGACAATTAATTGATGGTCTAATGGCGTAACAAAATCCAAAGTTTAAACATGTTTTAATGTAGGCTATTACTGAGATCACTGAATGCATCTTCTAACCTACAAGACCACTGGAGCGAATGGTGAGGAAGTGGCACAACTGATGCCATAGGTCATGTGACAATGCCAACATGGTGGATATACAGTGGGTACGGAAAGTATTCAGACCCCCTTAAATTTTTCACTCTTTGTTATATTGCAGCCATTTGCTAAAATCATTTAAGTTAATTTTTTTTCCTCATTAATGTACACACAGCGCCCCATATTGACAGAAAAACACAGAATTGTGAGTGAAAAATGTAAGGGGGTCTGAATACTTTCCGTACCCACTGTAGTACAGGTGGGGTTGTGTTGGGTGATGATATTGTGGCTGTGAACTAGTGGAGGGCCTCATTACAGCCGTTATACAACAACCCTAGGTGTTCGTTATGGGTGGAACATGTCCTGCAGAAAGGCCGTTTCTGCAAACGTAAACATTGCTTGCCCTTCCCGTGCTGCCATTGTACTCATCCTTTTGCCCAAAGCAAATGTTCAAATTGTAGAATTCAGGTTTATGTCGGAGGATAAGCTAAATCAAATCATCAACAGAGTCATCAACAGGCCCTTACAGAAATGTCTGGCAGAAGTCCTAAAAATCAGTTTACTGAACTTTTATTGATTTACAGTTAAAGAAAATAAACTAGATGAGTAAAGTTTGTCTTGTGCTGAAAGTTTAAATTTATTTTTAAATATTGAAGTTTGAAAGTTTAAAGTCATAGATGGACAGACAGATGCACAGCAGAAAATGGCTTATCTTACTTAGTGTTTTTGTCTTGTTTCTAATCAAAATATCTAAAAATTCTTAAATCAAGATACTTTTACTAGATAAGCAAAATGACATAAGATATTTAGTCTTGTTTCCAGGGAGAAACAAGTCAAATCATCTGCCAGTGGGGTAAGTAAAATACTCGCTTTCAGAATATTTTACTTACCCCACTGACAAAAAGCCAGCATGGGCCCCGCAGGGACATGTTTGCAGTGATGGGACAAAACATGTCCAGCAATCATAACTGCTATTAGGTTTAAAAATATTTTAAATTTTAAATGTTATGAGGGATTAATAATACAATGTATTTAACACAATTATCCCCTTCAATTTAATTTTATCATTATTATATCAAATCTATGACTCTTATTGTCCTCTTACTACATCTATCAATCATTCATATGCTATAAAATGGATAAAAATGTTTTTTTTGTTTTTGTTTTTAATGATGGAAAAGAGCTTGTCTTATCAAAAGCAACACTTAATAATATCTCATATCAAAGCAAGGTTGTTTTTCAAGGACACATGTGTGTTTCATAAGGTTTCAAAGTTGTGTCCCCGCTTTTTGTCAACACCGCCCGACATTCATTAAAATAAAAATAAAAAATCAGGGAATATCAGGGACAGCCGTCAATATAAATGATCCCCTTTCCACATTCCACCTCTGCATCAGTGTCAGACTTAGCTCTGCTTAGTTTTATAGTTTTAGAATATTTTAAATCCTAATGTTAATATTTAATGTGTCACAACCATAATGTCAACACCATCTTCCAATTTCTGAGGAAATTATTTGAAATGTTCAGATCATTTTATTCTCCTGAAGCAGGCTCTATTAGCATCTAGCATCAACAGATAAAACAAAATGGCTACTACGTGAACGTCATGTTTTGTGAAAGAAATCGACAGGAGATTACACACTGCATGACTTTACAATAGGAAGAATCGCCGACAACTCTGTCTGCTCCGGAAACTACGTTTCATATAACTCCTCCGAGACTTCCCTCTGCCCTGTATCTTGGTCTCTCATTGGCTGTAGGTCATCGCCGATGTGTTTTTCAGTCAAAACTCATTGCCCACAGCGTGATTGTGAATCGTCGACAGTTCCAGATATTTAGCATGCCAAATATTTCCCTCAGATCGTGTCTTTGATAATTCACACTCCGTGATTTTCACACGCGAGAACGAGCACCGATCTGCCTCCGATTTCGGGCATTTGTTGGCGATCTCGCAAAACCTGTTGGCGGATAATCGG